CGTCTATAACGTTTTCAGTTAGGCTGTACACAAACAAACCCACAAACCCACAAACAAACAGTCAAACACACGCCGGTGAAAACATAACCTCCTGCCAACCCCTTGGCGGAGGTAGTAAGAGCGGTGTTATATCTGCTGTAGCGTGACCGTGGTGGGGGGGGGGGACTTGACTCCGCTGCCTGTGGCGGTGATATCAAGAGCTAAAACTAAAGAGTGCTATTTTACTGCAAAGTCATTTTATTCTAAGTGCAAATCTAGAATAAGTTCAGAGTATGGCATTAAGCAGAATTCTTTCCGCCGCTTGTCTCTACGACACTCGCCGAGTTATATTGGAGGACTGTATTCTGAGCTTATGCAGACGTACGTTGTGGGCGAGTATATATATATATATATATATATATATAGCGTTGAACACGTGTCTCTCACGCCTGAAGCTCGCTGCCGCTTTTTGCCTATTGTTTTCCGTCGCCGCTCGAAGTGCTGATTAAAGACGTCAGTCGTCCATAATTTGGTCTTCTTACCACACCATAACGAAATAGCGTTGCGGTGACCAACATTGCTGTTCGGGCAAGGGCTTAGCCAGGAATTTGGATTGGGGGGTCTGGTGGTCTAAAATTTAAATGTAAAAATGTCTGAGTTAAATGTAAAAATAGTGCTTTAAAATCAATTTAGACGCTGTTTTGTTTGAGGACAGGATTAGGCCAGCTACGACTCAATTTTGTGAACACAAAACTCAATTCTGTCAATCCTGTCCCACAAAACTCAATTTTGTAAACACAAAACTCAATTCTGTCAATCCGGTTCCACAAAACTCAATTTTGTGAACACAAAACTCAATTCTGTCAATCCTGTAACACAAAACTCAATTCTGTCAATCCGGTTCCACAAAACTCGATTTTGTTGCCCAAATATGGCACACGCATACCATTGGTCAGAAACTGGGCTGGAGAAATGGGTCACTAAGTTAAAGAAACAAGATGGCGACCGTGACACATTTCTCCAGCCCAGTTTCTGACCAATGGTAGCCCTTCTTACATGCGTGTGCCATATTTGGGCAACAAAATCGAGTTTTGTGGAACCGGTTTGACAGAATTGAGTTTTGTGTTTACAAAATTGAGTTTTACAACAAGTACTACAGAAGTGTACCCTAACCCTAACCCTAACTCTAACCCTAACCCTAACCCTAACCCTTAACAGTCATACCTCATATAAAAATATAAACATAATACTAAACAACCTAAAACTACCTCGGGTACATATATGTAGTACCTGATACGACAACGACCCTTCGTGCGTAACTGGACTATACGCATACAGCGCATACAGCCATATATAGCTTACAATGCCACTGTGCCTTTTCATAATTTTAGCTCAGCTTGTAGAATGCCATCAGCGTCCGTCCGTCAGTCAACAGTATGGATAGAAATATACGGATCGGTACTTTGTTGACATTCAGAAGGTAGGCCCTATGTGTGAAATCCGAAAAATCTTACAATGTTATGAGATTTAATCTGAGGCCACGATTTATAGGTCAGAGGTGTGAAGGGAGGGGACATATTAATTCTCACTATATATATTGCTGATATAATATTTGCTCTAAAATATAGAATTTAGGAAGCACAGAATTACGACACAAATGGGAACGGCTTGACACATGCTCTTGATAGTGTCAGTGTCAGTGCAGAGTCAGTGTGAGAGAAGACATCATATTGCCAAAATTTGAGGTCACAGGTCAAGCTGTAGAGAGGCAATAGAAGGATTTCCGACATTTTTGATATACATGGTCTAATGGACCGAGTGGGAAACTTTTTTTTGTTTCCATGGTGACCTATCTATTTTCATATTGCCACTGGAAGAGCCACGCGTCTGCGAAGAGTAGCTCTAGTAAACAGTGATTTTTTAGTGATAAAATGAACTGAAACGTTTTTGCTAGTTACTTGTTTCGGTGTGAAAGGCTACAATTTCGCAGGTAGTTTAAAGCGCAAAACTAAGCTGAACAAGGTTTCATGTTACTTGTTGGATTTACGCGTGTGACATATCACTCCGTCACAGGGCTATACGATGACCAGTAAGTGTAACCGGATGACCGGCATCGACAGTGATTGATGATTCCTATCAACAAGGCTGGCCAGGCTGTAACCCGCGATATAATCATCAAATATACGCTAGCCGGCAACATAAATGTCCTGACTTTATCCCTAATGTGGGTATTGATTTTTGCTGTCTTTTCCTATCGTACGACACTCTGCCTGTATGTCCGAATATTGTCTTAGCTATGTGCATCTGTCGTCTCGTGAATCGTGTAGTGCAGGGGTGGGCAAACTGCGGCCCGCGGGCCGCATGCGTTGCAGAGCGAACCAGAGACAATAGAACACTAATCTGTATGACACTGAAAAAGTCAGCCTCGGTTCTTTTTTATTTGCTGCAGGCTTCCGCGGGCCGCACAGAACCCCGTAGAAGGCCGTATGCGCAGCCGGCTGAAAGGGGTGATAGGATATGTTTACTAGGCACTTCTAATTTTTTTCAGTTTAGGACTTTTTCAGTGTCATACAGATTAGTGTTCTATTGTCTCTGGTTCGCTCTGCAACGCCATTTCAGCTAATTATGGTCCAGAGATGGCGCCCTTGAGGCGAAACGCACGTATTATCTTAGAGCACGAAGAGAGAGAGAGAGAGAGAGAGAGAGAGAGAGAGAGAGAGCGATAGATAGATAGAAAGAGAACGCGCTAAATCAGCGCGCGAGGAAGTACAGCGGAAATCCACCACCGTTCGTAACGCTGGCTAAATACGTCACACATCACGTCATCGCCGACTGCGCTACTCGCTCGGTCTCCGTGATAAGCTGTGCAGTCGGTCATTTCGGGTCGGTGCGTCGCCCACGGAGAGATTTTTAATGGAGGCACTCACCGACCGCCGATCGCATGCGTGCGCGTCTAGCGCATCGGCGCACGCAGATGAGCTAAGCTCTCTGTCCCCGTACTCGGTATATTATAGTTAATGGCCTATCAGCACTGATGCGTTTGCGTGATCGCATCAGCTGCGTGACGCGCTCTCTCATGTTCTCAGTGCGCAATCCGTCTGCGCACCGGGGGCGCCACTGTCAGGTTGTGTCGTATGACAAGGCCGCGTGATGGCGCGGCTTGACGTAATAGCTCACGTGCGCGTGGTTAACATAGCTCATTGAAGACGTGTTTCGCAAGCGTGCACTCTCGACTTCTCGACGTGATGCGGCCATGATGCCGAGGCTCGCCGAGGATTGACACTTTGTGTATTCCAATCACAGCCGACGCCGCACCAGTCTTTTATATTTTTAAATATGGGGACCCATTAGACCACCAAATCGCCGATCTCAGGAACTAAGGCATTCTGCTATGTTAGAACGGTTTCCTACGATAGAGTTTGCGACAAATACGAAAATAACACGCTGTTTAGCCCACTGCGCTACGTCCTTCTATCGCATTTTCGCATCTTCGTTATCAGAATAAGCCCCGCCTTCTTCGTTGATGGGCATGAATGGGGCGTCACCGACGTGACCAGTTACTGTACCTACTGTCTTTCGCCAGTCTGTTTACTTTTCGTTAATAATGAAATGCCCGGCCGATGCATTTCGCATCGAAGTGAAAAATTTTCGAGATTTTCACTCGCTGTCGGAAGTGAACGAATGCGTCATTCATTGAACATTGAAGTTTTTCTTCAAATTAAATAATTCCGAAAATCCCTAACCGCGCTACTCGATTGTTTTAGCTAATGAACGTAGCTGTGTGTGTGTGTGTGTGTGTTACGTCTTGCCCGCGCGCTTTATGCTTGGCTTAGCGGTCCTCGAAATGAATATCGGAGGCAGGCACCTCGCAACACGCGTGTTTGTTTACATATAGCTTTGTGACGTACGGTGTTCTGGAGTTCTGCGATGATGGCCTCGTAATTTCTCAGCATTTCTTAAGGTGCATGGAACATTTTACCAATTTAGTGGTGTCAGTTAGTCCCGGATATGTCACAGTAAGTACTAACCGTATATGTTTCACATACGTTCACCTATTTTGCACACAAGCGGTCGATCATTGTGAAAAATTGTGTGCATTTTTATTTCTATTGAGACGTTCCAAGTGCCTGTGCTTTCAACAATCTTGTACGTCAATGCACGTACGTCAAACGCCACAATCTCAACACAATTTTATCTCTGTTATTGTTTACGCCCGAATGCGTGATTGATCAGGGAGGGGGTGCATGTAAGAGGGAGACATTTTCTTTGGGGTTCCGAAAATGGAATTTTCTTTGGAATTCCACTTGACAATTTCATGGGTCATTTCAATTGGAAGCTCTGCATAATAGACCCCCAACAAGCCCTTTGACTGACTAGTCAAGAAATTCAAAGGTTTGTATATTGCTCTTATTTAGCCGCCGATAGTTCTTATTTAGAACAAAGTCTTCATTGTTATCTTCTAAAACTACAGACCATCCGCTGACCGCTGTGGAGACGTGCGCCGGGCCTCGAATCTGGCGCACGTCTCCACTGCGGACAGCGCTTCATACTTGAACATCCCCGCGGTCGCGTGCGCAAATTCCGCGGAACTGCGCGTCTCATCCGCGCGCAGCGCTCAGGATCAACAGCAAAGCGGTGCCACGCAATCTTGTATCATGTCTTTCTGGATTGGAGAGTTTAGTAGAAATAAATCGGAAGGAAACAACCGTGTGGCCAGTAATTGCGGCGGATGATCAGTGTCGACATCATGGGTATAGAGGCCTCGTAGTGTATATATATATCAATCACCGGGCTAGATCTAATAGACGAATTACACGGGCGCACAGGACTTGGCTTGCGATATCGACCGGTGAGTGAATCAGTGGCAGTGCAAATGCTAGCTTTATAAAGTATATATCCGCCATAGTGGAATTCGCCGGTAGATGGCGTCTATAGACAGCAGGGTTGAATGAGCAAGAGACAAAAATTGAAAATACTTAAAAGATTTAAGGACATACGCAACATAAACTTTATTCCTGGTAATTAAAACTAGATTTAACGCCAAAAATGTTCAGATGATGCACATATCTAGCAGGATTTGGTGGTTCTGTTTCTACGGTTATACCCGATTACCATATTCATTTCACTGACAGAACGTTTCGGCAATAATTTTTCCACATAACCTGCTTTACTTTGCATGCATTTGAGACGTCTATAAGATAATTTACGTGAAAAATGCTGAATAGTGAACTCTAAGTTCTCTTTAGTCGAATATTGCCGCACAGAAACTAAGAAACCTTTTTTACGAATACCTAATGTAAAATTGTGAACAAATGCCGGAAGGCTGCTATTGCGTGCCTCCCAAAGACTGCCAAAATGGCAGCGATCACCACGTAATCATTTGATAGCGGGTCGACAGTAACGCGACAGTGACACACTCTACATGCTCTATTATATTTTCCCTTTTTTACTGTTTTCTCATGTTTTTTCCCTATAGATTTTGTTTCGATTCACCGTGCATCCGCGAGATAAAAGAGTTGTTTTTTCATCCGGCTTTTCAGTCCCCTGATTTAAACCTTGTAAAGATCTAAGAGTAAATATATTTTACGATTAAATTCGTTTATTTATTTAATATGTTGATCTATAATAGCGCATAAATTATTTGTGTATTGCTCTATAAAAATTAGATTCGCTACAAATGACGTACTATGGATGAATCATAGTCTGAAAATACATAAATAGTCATATAGAAATTTATTTGAATCGTAAAATTCCTCGTAAAAAAACTCGCTATAGCCGCCAGACAATTATATTGCAATTTTAAAAATTCTATCGTACTAAGTAGACTGAAGCATTCCCTCACACGCCGTTCTTTCACGCTCTCTCTCTCTCTCGCAGGTAACCTTCTCGTGATCTTCGTCATTCTACGCAACCGGCGCATGCGCACCGTCACCAACTACTTCCTCGCCAACCTGGCGATCGCCGACTTCTGCGTCGGCGTCTTCTGCGTGCTCCCGGTCATGTACTACCAGCTGTGGTACTACTGGCCGCTGGGCGACGTGCTGTGTCGCGTCTACGTGTTCATGTCGGGCGCGTCGTATACCGCTTCCATCCTCATACTGATGACGGTCTCCGTTGAACGCTTCCTCGCCGTCAACTACCCGATGAAAGTGAAGCAGATCATCACGCCGCGTCGGCTGCACGTTGCCACCGTCATCATCTGGGGCGTCGCCGTCGTCAACAACGTGCCGAAGACGCTCATGTTCGGACTCGTCGACTACGGCGGCTTGTATCTGTGCCTCATCGACCCGTCGTTCAACGTAAACGCCTACGACGCCGTCAACTTCTGTCTCTGGTACGTCGTGCCGCTGGCCATCATCAGCGGCTTATACACGAAGATCGGCATCACGCTCTGGCGAAGCTCGACCACCGCCAGAGGGTGCTGCGCCGCGCTCGTACCGCGCCGGTGGCGCAGTGTAGACTCGGCTGTTTACTACGCACCGCCGTCGGCGCTGCGCGCGCACCACACGGTCGAGCTGGACGCAGCACTTCGCGGAAAACCCGGCGCGACGACGACGCCGACGACGTCGTCGAATCACATGACAACGCGCGCGGAGAAGCGACAAATCAACATGCCGACGACGGGCTATAACTCGGTGTCGCGGCCGTCGGCCACGATGTCGTCGTCGGCGTCGGCCGTGCCGCCCTACTGCTGCTGTAGCGTGTCGAACCTGAGCGACGAGTCATTGGACAGGACCAAGCTGCCCGTGTCTCAACCTACGGGATCTACTCAGGGGCTGTCCAGCTGGGATGCGACGCTGGTGGTAAACATTAGTGACAGCCCGGCCTCCTCGCACGCCAGCGACTCAGACCACTCAACACACGAGCAACGACAGCAGCATGAACATCGTCACGGACGGCAGCAGCAGCAACAGCAGCAGCAGCAGCAGCAGCAGCAGCAGCCACAAGAATATCAGCAGCACCAACAACAGGAGCAGCAAAAACAGCAAAAACAGCACCATCAGCAGCAACAACAACAGCGATGTCAGCTACAGAAACATCAGCAGCAGCAAGAACGAGACGGATCCGGATCCCAGCAACAGCAACAACAGCAGCAGCAGCAGCAGCAGCAGCAGCAACAACAACCTCATGAATGTCAGCAACAACAACATCAGCAACAACAGCAGCATCATCATCATCAGCAGCAGCAGCAGGAACAACAACAACAGCAACAACAGCACCAACAGCATAATCATCACCACCAGCAGCAACATCAGCAACCACAACAGCATAATCATCATCACCACCAGCTGCAGCAACAACAGCAGCCACAACAGCATATCGAGCATCAGGCACATTGTTCAGTGAGTCGGCTCAGCTCGGTAGCAACGGTCGGCATCGACGCCAGGACGTCGGACGAGGAGTACAGCGACAGCACGCCACCAGCAGCCGCTAGTGCCAGCCACGACAGCACCCACTCAAAACTCGACATTGACCACAGCTACGACTCGCCGATCTTCCAGCGAAACAACGCGAAACTCGATCTCGACAACAGTTTCGACTCGCAGGACTTTCGCAAGCCCGCCGCGGCCGCCGCGGCCGCCGTCGCCGCATCGCCGCCACCGCCGACGGCGACGCAGCCGAAACCGGCGTCAAACCAGCTGCGCATGCGCAGGAACGACGCCGACCCGGCGAATTCGGTGAACATGAAGCGGCGGCGCGTCATTCGTCTGCTGGTCGCCATCATCCTTGCGTTCGCTCTCTCCGTGCTGCCCTACCACGTGTACGTTCTGCACATCATCATGAAGCCGCCGGCGCGCTACAGCGACGCCGAAAACTACTACTACGCCCTCTTGCGGCCGATCGTCTTTCTGCTGCTTTACTCGAACAGCGCCATCAATCCGGCGCTGTACGCGTTCATGTCGAACAACTTCCGCGCAAGCGCGCGCGAGGCCTTCCGCAGACGAGACGCCGCCGGCGCCAGCCGATGCGCGAGCTACCCGGTCAACGCCACCTATCGGAGCGTATCGTACGCGATGACGGCACATCAGGTGTAGTCGGCAGTGCGTAAGCGTTTGTGTGTGTGTGTGTGGGGGGGGGTGAGGCTGCATGTGCGTGTGTGTGGGAGGAGTGCTTTCCCTGTTTTCCCGTCAGTGGTGTGCGCGTTTGTGTGTGTGTGTGTGTGTGTGTGTGTGTGTGTGCGTGTGTGTGTGTGTCTGTGTGTGTGTGTGCCGCGCGCGCGCGTAAGAGTATGTATGCGTGTGAGTGTGGTTGCGGGCGGGCACGTGTGTTATTGTTTTTCGCACCGCGTTAGTAGATGATTCTATATGACTAGATTAATACCCACACGCTGTCATGGGAGGATTACGGTAATATTGGTTCAGCAATATCCAGAGGAATATTATATTACCTACGTAATAAAATGTGAGCAAATCCACTAGGTGTCATACGCTTGCATTCTCATTACAACTACGCGTAATGGAAGTGTCAACGACGAGGTTAGCTGATTGACATTCACGAAATAATGATCCGCGTGTAATTTCGGCTCACATGGTCCACGCTGTATAAACTATGGGTGACGTGTTCAAGGTGCTCGACAATGATCAGTGTCACCTAGCTTGCTTAGTTAGATGAAGCGCTTATTTTAAATCGCGTCTTCAGTCCACTTTACCTAGATCCGTGTGTGAGAGATGACCACGTGTTTCGCGTGTTTTCCATGTGTTTTCCACGTGTTTTTAACGTGCGCATAAATTATTTTTGACATTGCGACACGTCGTTGTCAAGCAACGTCGTTTCGACCTTTCTGTGGAAGTGATCGCCTAGATGCTGTCAATCATACGAGGTCGATAAACCAATCGTATCCTTTCTATAATATCATAAGTAAGGGTCAGTGGAGTTTCATTTATTTACTACGCGTCATTTCCACTTCTCTTTGCATGATTCTGGTATGACATATTTGAGATAAAGTTTCCAACAGAGGACAATATCTACAACAGCAACAACGATAGAGACAGAAATAAGGGTACCGACGACGCTGACGACGATCACGACGACAACGACGACAACAACAACAATGACGTCAGCAACAATAATAAGAACAGCGGCAGCGAATGCAAAAACAACAACAAACAACAAGCATGCCATCTGTATAACTTTCATCTTTACATTCTTATCTATACTAGCTAATATAGATACATCATATGCACATCGCAAACCTCCTATAATATAATGTATGTAGTGGTTGGTGCGCCTTTCTAAGATGAATCGAAATAATGTATGAGTACGAATTGTAGCCGATCAGCATGACATATTGAACTCTTTTTCTAAAAGATGTCGCTAGCAGTATTATATTAGGGGTTAAGAATGACAAAGGCTCATTGAGAAACGCTCATCGAAAACGGGTCATTATTAAACCCCAATTAAATCGTTTCATGATACAGAAATCACATTGCGCACTTCGCGCCAGTAAATCACAACAAATTTACATATTATGTAGGATTGGTTGCTCAAGTTCGTCTGTATATATAGGCGCTGTGCAACAGTAGAGGGCGTTAATAGGCAGCTGGCTTGAATAAGCATCGAACCGAAATTAATTAAAAATACTGAGAGAGTTTCGTCGCATACACAACATACACTTTATTCATGTTAAATAATTACAGATTCAAGGCCTAAACTCTGCTCGAAACTTTTGCCAGCTAAATGATGCGCATTTCTAGAAATTAGTTTGATACCGTTTCAAACACAAAAATGGAGGACCGGTCACCATGGCTACAATTACACGACAAGACCAATCTCACATCTCATGCTTTCTTGGCGTCCACGAGGCATAATGCAAGTCCTTGCGTGCATAATGCAAATTACTGCACTCTAGTGCCGAATTTTACCGCAAAAATGTAAATGAAGGCGTTTTTCAGAGACGAATTAGTGCAACGTTTGTGAACAATTGGCGGAAGGCTACTGTTTTAGCCACTTAGTTGTATGCCACTTATATATTCATACTCAGCTCACCATACGGTGTTGGCAGTAAAAATGTGTACACTGCTCACTAAGCGCAGTAGACTTTGTGACGAAGTCGCGAATATGACGTGTTCGGGAGCCTATATATATATACAATATTCTGTGGATTAAAATGTTTTTCTATTTTATGAAATTACATTTTAAATTTAACAAATAACGTTCGGAAGTAAATATTATGACTGATGTTGTACCTTCTCTTTATATATAAAGAAATATTTATTTATTTAGTTAGTTATTTATAAATTATATATATAAGAGTCGAAGACATGTGAAAAGTCTCTATAAGTCTCTACCTGTGCTGAAAGTTAATTACATTGCAAAAATATGTATTATTAGCATTTAGCAATTATATGTATTAGGTATTAAAAGTTGTATTCAAAGTATTCAATTACGCAAATTGTGCTTTCCTACAAGACATAACATTTTGTTTCAGAAGTAGGATTACTCCATCTAAATCAGTTATGGAAGCTACCGAGTAGTTGCCACATCCAAAAATATGTTGAACAGTTTTAAGCTTTTATGGGGAAAAACAAACTACAATGGCCGTCATATAGCCAATCTGTCAGAAAAGGCTAGACCGATTTATGCTCTCCTAGGAAAAGATGCGAAATTTGAATAGAAACAAGCACAACAGCAAGCTTTCCAACTGCTTAAATATGTAGGCAATTCATGCAACACACGTGACACATTATGATGACTCCAAGCCCCTCATCCTAGCAACTGACAAATCGCAGCATGAAATAGGAGTTTTGGCAGAGTAAAATACCCCCATTTCACGCGCATATAGAAGGCCTTGAACAATCATCAAGTAAAATATTCTTAGATAGGAAAAGAAGCTCTCTCAATCATTTGTGGATTAAAAAATTTGAGTCAATTCTTGTATAGTAGAAAGTTTACGCTGAAATCAGACGCCAAGCCTTTTGTCATTTTCTCTTGGCAGAAATACTACAGTACTGTCAGCGCAAATGCTTCAGCGCTGGGCAATTACTATTGTGTCCTACCTGTTCGACATTTCACTAGAAACGTAAATGCACGCACTATAACGCGGATGCGCTGTCGCGCTTACCTATCGAATCAGACGATGTTTTGCTATGAGGGAGGAAAGTGAACGCATATCGAAATTGCGCATGCCATCACGGAAGCGTTGAATAATTCTCTTGTGCGGTGAAGTCGCATGATGTCAGCGTCGAGCTGAGCAGTAAGACACGCGCATAGAGGATGGTCATAACACTCGATAGCCACGGTCAGGATACCATCAAAATCGTTCAAAATGTGAAAAAAGTGTGAAAATTGGTACACTTGCATACGTTTGTATATTCTTTCATTTAAAGACAGGGCACACGCGATCCAACGACAACTTCGGCCGCCATAGTGAATTCAAAATGGCCGCCGTCATTTCTTAGAAAATAGCTATCTCGGTTAATAATCTTCGTACAGACTTGAAAATTGACTGACAGACGTAATTTGGGTTACTATTTTATACAACAACGTGATGCATGTGATCCAAGGGCGTTTTTGGCCACCATCTTGGATTCAAAATGGCCACCATAAAAATTACAAACTTAGCACTATTTCCGTTCACGGAAGATAGATAAGAGACGTGAAAATTTGCAGACTGGCGCAGGTTAATAAGCTCTTTCATATTAAAACAAGGCACACAAGTTCCAATTATAATTACAGCGGCCATATTGAATTCAACATGGCCGCCATCACATTTTACTCTGTACTTCAAAATGATCAATGACATAGTATAACAGATACAAACAAACATGGTGAAAATGTTGATTTACCGGTTTTTCTCAGTATATAACAAACACAATGTCAAACTTATGTTACACAATGTCAACTGGCAATCCCCAGTGTGAGAGAGAGATAATTCAAGACAACAAGTTGTAGTATTGTATATACAGTATACAGTATATATATAGTACATATATATAGTATTGTATATACAGTACACAAGAACATGCATGGCAAGCTAAATAATACTTTGTTCAAGTTAAACAAATGTCTCGAGACTGCATTGTCCCAGATTGTCACTCAGTGCGGTAACATGTACCTGCACAAACACAAATATAGTACTTGTATGTAAAGTATAGTATCTGTTATGTGCGTGCGTTCTCGCGGGCGTATCGCTATCTGTTATGCGCGTGCGTTCTCGCGCGCGTATATAGGTACCTGTTATGCGCGTGCGTTCTCGCGGGCGTATAGGTACCTGTTATGCGCGTGCGTTCTCGCGGGCGTATATAGGTACCTGTTATGTGCGCGCGTTCTCGCGGGCGTATAGGTACCTGTTATGTGCGTGCGTTCTCGCGGGCGTATAGCTATCTGTTATGTGCGTGCGTGCGTGCTCGCGCGCGTGAGTTTTGAACTGCTTGTGTACACGTCGCGTTAAAATGCGTGTTTTTCCATCGTTTCCAACGCGTGTTGGATACGGCACGTGTCGACTTGGCCGGCTGGGTATTAACCTGCGCCAGTCTGCAAATTTTCACGTCTCTATATCTTCCGTGAACGGAAATATTGCTAAGTTTGTAATTTTTATGGCGGCCATTTTGAATCCAAGATGGTGGCCAAAAACGCCCTTGGATCACATGCATCACGTTGTTGTATGAAATAGTAACCCAAATTACGTCTGTCAGCCAATTTTCAAGTCTGTACGAAGATTATTAACCGAGATATAGCTATTTTTTAAGAAATGACGGCGGCTATTTTGAATCCAATATGGTGGCCGAAAACGCCTTTGGATCACATGCATCACGTTGTTGTATAAAATAGTAACCCAAATTACGTCTGTCAGTCAATTTTCAAGTCTGTACGAAGATTATTAACCACAGGTATAGCTATAAATTATTTTAAGAAATAACGGCGGCCATTTTGAATCCAAAATGGTGGCCGAAAACGCCCTTGAATCACATGCATCACGTTGTTGTATGAAATAGTAACCCAAATTACGTCTGTCAGTCAATTTTCAAGTCTGTACGAAGATTATTAACCGAGATATAGCTATTTCACGTTGTTGTATGAAATAGTAACCCAAATTACGTCTGTCAGTCAATTTTCAAGTCTGTACGAAGATTATTAACCGAGATATAGCTATTTTTTAAGAAATAACGGCGGCCATTTTTGAATTCAAGATGGCGGCCGAAGTTGTAGTTGGATCGCGTGTGTCCTGTCTTTAAATGAAAGAGCATACAAAAGTAGGCAAGTGTACCAATTTTCATACTTTTTTTCACATTTTGAACGATTTTTTTCTAATCTACTGTACTACGTGTGACACGCACTTAATACGTTTCGGTAACCGGTAATACGTTTCGGTAACCCCGCTGGAGGTGATATCTCTTTTCAGTTGCGACCTACCGAGTTCCTACCTACCTACTGCTCCATTTCGAGTTTTTAAATTGTTGTAGTTAAAGTTTTTAATTACACAAGCTGTGCTTTCCTACAAGACGTAACAGAGGGTACAGAGAATATGCGAAGGACAGTCTGCGGGCAGGAAGAAAACTGTATGACAATCATGCACCCAGCGCTACCTTTGTAACGTGTGTGTGCGTGTGTGTGTGTGTGTGTCACTGTGTGTGTGTGTGTGTGTGTGTGTGTGTGTGTGTGTGTGTGTGTGTGTGTGTGTGTGTGTGTGTGTGTGTGTGTGTTGTT